AAAATTACCTTATGACCGTTGGAATACCTTATGCCAGAAAAAGTGTGTTGATCAGTGAAATCAATGGGAAGTCATCGTATTGTTCTGCTCGCTCGCAGATTGAAATATCCAGAACTGGCTGATCCACTGCGGTCACACGCTCAGAGTCAGTCTCCTCCTTGTCGCTCATCTATTGCTACTATCATGGTTGCTGTCGCTGTGAACGTCACTCATTTGTTCTTCCACCAATGCTGAGTGCTCGGCCCACTGCAGGTCACACCAACACTCACCACACTGCAGGTCTCACCAACACTCACCACACTGCAGGTCTCACCAACACTCACCACACTGCAGGTCTCACCAACACTCACCACACTGGCAGGTCTCACCAACACTCACCACACTGCAGGTCTCACCAACACTCACCACACTGCAGGTCTCACCAACACTCACCACACTGCAGGTCTCACCAACACTCACCACACTGCAGGTGGCATCACTCACCACACTGCAGGTCACCTGACTTCTTGTTCTGCTTCTTTCGCTCGCACCGCTCCGCCGTCTCTTTTTCTCCAAGCTCTTTCTTACCTCTTCTCATTTCAATAAACGTGTTAAATCTCGATTTAAAGCTTTCGTGACTGCAGGGATTCATCTTCTTGGTTCTTTCGGTAAAGTCACGTAGAAGGGAAGTAATAAAATAATAAAAATAAAACATAATAAAATGAATTACGTGGCTTTACCGAAAGAACCAAGAAGGTGTTAAATCTCGTCTTATGCAACTTGGATGAGGCTGGTTTGGTGTTTTTTTCTCTGACCGCTTGGCATAGTGAGCCTTGCGTCTTGTGCTTTGCAATTGTTGCATAAAATAATTTATAATAATAATAAACCGAGACAACGCAGGGACAATTGATCAACTTGTGAACGAGCAACAGCGGCGAGTACAGGTGTCGGTGTGAAGATCAAAGCAAGAAGCAGTGTCAACCCTCTGGTCGGCATTTTATTCATTTATTTATTTCTGTCGTGGACTAAAGGTAACGACACCATTCGGTTTCTCAATATTTGTGTATAACAAGAATTGAGAAGTTCGGTTGGGGGATTGGGTTAAAACTAAAAATCTACAGGTTGAGAAAGCAGAACAGGGAGAAAGTGAGTTCCAGAGTTGACCAGCGATGGGCGTGCGAGTGGACCAGGGAGAGAAGTCCCAGAGAAAGTTTTTTTGTTTCCAGAGAGGACCACGTCATCAATAATGATCTCATGAAAAAGAAAAGAAAACGGTGTTACGTTTAACAAATATGTATAGTAGTAATCATAATAATGCATGTTTGTATATATATTTATTTTTTATAACTGTTGTACAAGCAGCCAGCCACTTAATAATCAAGTTAAAACGAAACCACTAGATAGCTTATTTCTTATATCACTACTTCTGTAAATGCTAAAACGCTTAGGCGATGTTAGCATACTCAAGTCGACTTTGCAACAGAATAATATCTCAAACAAGTTACCGTATTCCTCTGGATTACGAGACGCTCTGGAAGGTAAGACGGACCCAGAACCTTTGGTGTGAAGAAGGCCTCCTGCCTGAAACGTCGACATTTCTCCCTTTAAGACCTGTGTGCGTTATTAAGGCATGTGCGTGTGTTGTTAAAGTCTGTGTGTGTGTATTATTAAGGCATGTCTCTCTCTCCGTGGTCGCGTGGATTTTTCTCCGGAGTCTCAGGTGTTTTCCCTCCCCATTTCGAATCAACGTCAGGGCATTTAGAGAAATTGGCTGCTGCTGCTGCTCTGCATTTCCACACGGTCAGCCCCCTTCGTTGAGCTATCATTTGTGATAGCCAGTTCGCTACTGAAAAAAAGTTGTTTAGCTCAGTTTAAGGCCTGTGTGTGTGTGTTATTCAGGCATGTGTGTGTGTGTTCAGGTCTGTGTGTATGTGTTCAGGTCTGTGTGTGTGTTATTCAGGTCTGTGTGTGTGTGTTATTCAGGTCTGTGTGTGTGTGTTCAGGTCTGTGTGTGTGTTATTCAGGTCTGTTTTTTATTCAGGCCTGTGTGTGTGTGTTCAGGTCTGTGTGTGTGTGTTATTCAGGTCTGTGTGTGTGTGTTCAGGTCTGTGTGTGTGTGTTATTCAGGTCTGTGTGTGTGTGTGTTCAGGTCTGTGTGTGTGTTATTCAGGTATGTGTGTGTGTGTTATTCAGGTCTGTGTGTTATTCAGGCCTGTGTGTGTTGTGTTCAGGTCTATGTGTGTATTATTCAGGTATGTGTGTGTGTTATTCAGGTCTGTGTGTGTGTTCAGGTCTGTGTGTGTGTGTTCAGGTCTGTGTGTGTGTGTGTGTGTTATTCAGGTCTGTGTGTGTGTGTTATTCAGGTCTGTGTGTGTGTGTGTGTTCAGGTCTGTGTGTGTGTGTGTTCAGGTCTGTGTGTGTGTGTTATTCAGGTCTGTGTGTGTGTTCAGGTCTATGTGTGTGTGTTATTCAGGTCTGTGTGTGTGTGTGTTATTCCGGCCTGTGTGTGTGTGTGTTATTCAGGCCTGTGTGTGTGTGTTATTCAGGCCTGTGTGTGTGTTATTCAGGCCTGTGTGTGTGTTCAAGCCTGTGTGTGTGTGTTCAGGCCTGTGTGTGTGTGTTCAGGCCTGTGTGTGTGTGTGTTACTGACAAAGTCTTTTGGCTTTTTCTTTTACGTGCCCTAACTTTGGGCTGATTTGGAGCAGGGCTAAAATAAAAGGTGCGTCTCGTAATCTGAAAAAAAAATAATGGTAAATCGTGTTTGCTTCCTTCTAACTTACACAAAACAAAGCTTTACCGAGTCTGATAGACCAACGTGTTGTGCAGGAGAGGGCCCTTGCCATCAAGATGTTTGACCCGCTTCCCTCTGCGCGTGACCCCACCGGGTGCAAGGGAGGCGTGTGCCAGTTACCACGGAGGAAAACCGCGTGCTCGCTCGCTACTCGATGCGACGCACCGCGACTTGCAACCGCACGAAGCGTGGCAGGCCGCAAGTCCGCTCCGTCGACGAGGTCACAGAACAATGACGAGGTCACACAACAATGACGAGGTCACAGAACGATGACGAGGTCACAGAACGATGACGAGGTCACACAACGATGACGAGGTCACACAACGATGACGAGGTCACACAACGATGACGAGGTCACAGAACGATGACGAGGTCACAGAACGATGACGAGGTCACAGAACGATGACGAGGTCACAGAACGATGACGAGGTCACACAACAATGACGAGGTCACAAAACGATGACGAGGTCACAGAACGATGACGAGGTCACAGAACGATGACGAGGTCACAGAACGATGACGAGGTCACAGAACGATGACGAGGTCACACAACAATGACGAGGTCACACAACGATGACGAGGTCACAGAACGATGACGAGGTCACAGAACGATGACGAGGTCACACAACAATGACGAGGTCACACAACGATGACGAGGTCACACAACGATGACGAGGTCACAGAACGATGACGAGGTCACAGAACGATGACGAGGTCACAGAACGATGACGAGGTCACAGAACGATGACGAGGTCACAGAACGATGACGAGGTCACAGAACGATGACGAGGTCACACAACAATGACGAGGTCACACAACGATGACGAGGTCACACAACGATGACGAGGTCACACAACGATGCCGCTGCTACGGAGGTTTTCTCGGGTGGTCAGTGACGATCCTGCACCCCAATGTGTCTCTCTTCCACACTTCCACCCACCCACCCTCTCCCACGACGCTACCCTCCCACATCTCCTACTCTCGTCAAATCCCCGTGTCACATGGAGTCATGTTTGTTGTACTTCCCCCGCACCTCCGATTAGCACGGTTGGCTACGTACGGTGCGAAAGAAGTTCAACATGCGGTACATACAGAAGAGAATCTCAGAAGCGACTGGTACCAATTCCACCACCCTGAACTCTCAACTCCACTGTCTCATCTCTCGCCTGTCCCCACGACGCTTCGGGTCGCCACCGCTCCCACCGCAGTCCGAACCCGGGACAGATTCCCCGCGCAGCGCTCGTTCTTTTGGCAGAACTGTGCGGAAAACGGGTGCATCGTGACATCGTAACAACTCAACTCCAAACAGATCTCACGACTCCCGGACGGGTGGCAACCCTCAGCCCTTGCCCACTGTGCCCCCCCCCCCTCCTCAATCCCGACGCTCCCCCAACCTCCCCACCACCGTCGCTCGAAGATGATCTCAGAAGTCGTCAGCAACTTTCAGCGCCCTCACTCCGACAAGCACCTCTGCCATCTCACCTCTCCCATCTCATCTCTCCCATCCCACCTCACCTCTCTCACCTCTCCCACCACCCCCACCTCTCCTCTCCCACCTCTCCCATCTCTCCTCTCCCACCTCTCCCACCTCTCTCACCTCTCCCACCTCTCCCATCTCTCCTCTCCCACCCCCCTCTCCCACCTCTCCCACCACCCCCTCTCCTCTCCCCACCTCTCCCACCTCTCCCACCTCTCCCACCTCTCCCACCTCTCCCACCTCTCCCACCTCCCCCTCCTCTCCCCACCTCACCATCCTCCTCTCCCACCTCTCCCACTCTCCCCCCACCTCCCCCACCTCTCCCCCTCTCCTCTCCCACCTCTCCCCCTCTCCCACCTCTCCCCTCCCCACCTCTCCCTCTCCCACCTCTCCTCTCCCACCCCTCCTCCCCATCTCTCCCACCTCTCCTCTCCCACCTCTCCACCCCCTCTCCCACCTCTCCCTCTTCCCACCTCTCCCCCACCTCCCACCTCTCCCCCCCTCCCACCTCCCCCACCTCCCCCACCTCCCTCTCCCACCCCACCTCTCCCATCTCACCTCTCCCATCTCACCTCCCCCACCCTCCCCCCTCTCCTCTCCCACCCCACCTCCCCCATCTCACCCCCCCCCCCCACCTCCCCCCCCCCTCCCACCCCACCTCTCCCATCTCACCTCTCCCACCTCTCACTTCCCTGCCCTTCCCTGCCCACCATTCACCCCCCTCAACCCCCCCTCCCCCCAATCCCTGAGCCTCCCCCCCCCGCCCGTTAGAAAAGAATCTCGGAGGCGACGCGCAGACACTGGAAGGCCTCTGCGGGCAGCGCGCTGCGGGTGAGGTTGTTGCCGTCCATGCGCAGGTAGCGCAGGCGCGAGTAGGCGAGCGGCGAGCCCGGAGACCCGCAGAAGCTGCTCACGGTGAACTCTGGGGGGGGTCACGCGGGATCACGCGGGGTCACGCGGGGAGAAAGGGGGGGGGGGTGAGACATGGGGGTGCGGGGTTGGGGCGGGTAAGGCGGTTGTGGCTACGTACGGTGCGAAAGAAAGTGCATGCACACATACACATGGCCGTGCAAAGAAACGCCACTGTGCATTTGGCGCTGCACTTGGCCTGGCTACACTGCAGACTTGACAGTCGAGATGGTGTCAGCGTGGCTGTCGTGCAACAAACAAGAATAGTCTCATTGGCACGGCGAGCGGGAAAGTATTGCCCCCTCCCCCCCCCCCCCAATGCTGTGTGAACCAAAGGTCACTTGAATGTACCTCGGAGGTAACTCTACAATATCCACTTCTCTTTCTCCACCTCTCTGCTCCGCCTCTGCGCGCGCGTGTGTGCGTGTGTGCGTGTGCGTGCGTGTGTGCGTGTGTGTGTGCGTGTGTGTGTGTGTGCCTCGGTCCCTCTCTTTTTTTTCCTTGCTTTGCTTCATGTGCTCCCCCCCCCCCCTTTTTTTTAAATGAAAGATTTTCCATGTTTTCCATTTTGAAACAATCTGTGCTGCTTCTTTCGTAGACACAAACACCAAGACGAAGAAGCACGCTCGGCTCCTCCATCTTACCCCTTCCCTATCTCTCTACCCCCTCTCTCTACCCCCTACCCCCTCTCTACCCCCCTGTCTCTCTACCCCCCCTCTCTCTCTACCCTCTTTCTCTCTCTACTCCCTCTCTCTCTACCCCCTCTCTCTACCCCCCTTCCCTACTCTCCCTATGTCCCCCCTGTTTTCCATGTAATTCTCTGTCTCTCTCACCCTGGATCTCGTTGGCCTCCAGGTAGAGGTTCTCCAGATGCTCGCTGACCACGGGGATCTTGTGCAGCTTGTTGTGCCCCAGGCCAAGCTCCACCAGCGACGTGGAGTTGAAGACCGCCGCCGGGACGCCCGCGTCCGTCATGGCGTTGTGCGACAGCCGCAGGTACTGGAGGCCCGTGAATTTGTTAACGAAGTCGGCGGGCACCGCGTCGATGTGGTTGTTGTCCAGGTAGAGCATCTTGATGGACGCCGGGAGGCTGTCGGGAATTTTCTTGAGTTGGTTCCCTGACAGGTCCAGCTGGATCAGCGACTTCAGGCCCTGTGGGGTTGTAGAGTTCGGGGGTGGGGGGGTCACGGTGATTGGACGGTTTAGGAGGTTGCTGTTGTTTGAAAAATGATAAGAATAGGTGTTCTAGATTTGAAGCTTTCGTGACTGCAAGGATTCATATTCTTAGGTTTTTTCGGTAAAGTCACGTAGGTAAAAAATTAAAATTAATGAAAGTAAAATAAAATAAAATCACGACGTTTCAGAGGCAACACAAGCTTCCGTCTTGCCTCCGAAACGTCGTGATTTTTATTTTATTTTACTTTTATTAATTTTAATTTTTTACCTACGTGACTTTACTGAAAAAACCTAAGAATAAGAATAGGTGTTTATTTTTTACCCTTTCTGGCAAGACAGGAGGTTGTGTTTAGACGTTCACACACCAAACAGAAACCTTTTTTCAAGGAATCGTGCCCACATTAACCGCACGCAAACTTGTGTTGAACATGCAAACACGCTCTGGTAATATCCCTGCATTGTCTTTGAAACTGATTCGTCTACGCCTTCCATAGGGCCCAGTCTCACCACCGGTGTCAGACCAGAGAACGACGCCAAAAGGCGCACAGCACAAGGGCAATGCCACGCATCGGAGCATCGATAGCTCGGGGTGAGCAGCAGCTGCACCGTGGGATACCTTGTTGTGCAGGGAATCAAGTCTGCATGAATCACACGTGCTTGTGGTAGTTGCATGCACATCGCAATAAAACTCGTATTTTATTTTGCCCGATTGGGTAAAGACCTATTTTTATTTTTCATACTTTGATACTGGCAACAAAGGTATCCCATGATAGAGTTGTTCATCTTCTTGGTTCTTTCGGTAAAGTCACGTAGAAGGAAAATAATAAAATAATAAAAATAAAACGTAATAAAATAATTCTCACGACGTTTCGGCTACAACGCAAGCAGCCGTCCTCAGGTGAAGAATGAAACGCCACCAAGCTTGGAGCGTATATTTAAGCTGGGTTGGAGGGGGAAGAAGAGCGCCTTGACAAAATAATTTGTATATCAAGAGGGATTTAGCATATTTATGGGAAATGCGTAGGAGGTGGGCATTATGCTAATCCTGCATAATGCATGGGCATAATATGACTTTGAAAACCCCCCGCCCACCTCCTAGGCATTTCCCATAAATATGCTAAATTCCTCTTGATATACAAATTATTTTGTCAAGGCGCTCTTCTTCGCCCTCCAACCCAGCTTAAATATACGCTCCAAGCTTGGTGGTGTTTCATTCTTCACCTGAGGACGGCTGCTGGCGTTGTAGCCGAAATGTCGTGAGAATTATTTTATTATGTTTTATTTTTATTATTTTATTATTTTCCTTCTACGTGACTTTACCGATAGAACCAAGAAGATGAATCCCTGCAGTCACGAAAGCTTTAAATCGAAAGATAGAGTTGTTGTTAGTTTGTTTGTTAAATGCAAGTAGTTCTAGGGAGACGATGGGGGTGGGGTTAGGCCCCTGTCCCCCCCCCCCTCCCCCCACTGATACGCCGGAAATTAGCAGTGCATTGATATTTATTTCAGAGAAAAAAAATTCGTAGGGCCCTATTGAAGAAAAAATAAAAAAAACACTTGAATTTCACTGAGCACTTGGGCCATGCCCAGTGCTCCTTGTGGCCACGTGGAGTGTGGAAGGCCTGCTGGCTGGAGGTCACGGGGACAGACCCGGCGGATGCCATGAATTGACTGGGGGAGGTCGGTCAAAAGTTCTGGCGATAAACTTTCCTCCACGCTGCCACGCAACCCTTTATTCATTTTGTTTAAAAGGAGTGCCACTCCCTCTTATTTGGCAGCCTCCTGCCCCGAGTGGAGAACTGTCCGCCCCTCGTGGCGACTGGAGCCAGAACCAGTCCACTGGATCTCCCTTAGACAGACGTCCAAACGGTTAGGGGCCATCCATTGAGTAGGTTCGCAAAAATCTGTCAAAACTTGACCCTTCCCCCCCTCCCTGTACTTTTTACCCCCCCCCCCCCCCCACACTGCGTACGTACGCTTGACTCACCCCTCCCTCCCGCCCCCGAATCCTATAGAACGGCCGATATATAATCCACTCAGAAACGATCAAGGATTAATAATATTCACGTGTTTAAGCAAACAGATTGTCCACCGCCGGACTATCTAACTCATTTGAAGGCCAATGTAGACAAATTATTATCGAGGCTTCACCCACCCCCCCCCCCCCCCCGTTTCCTATGCTACGTACATTGTCAATAGACGCCCCCATACGCAAGCGTACGAATTTAGGTTAACCCCCCACTCCCCCTTCCATGCGTACGTACTAAATAGATGGCCTCTTACTGGTCCATTCCACGTGGCCAGCCTCAGTGTTTTTCACACGCCGGCTCACGCACTCCCTCACCCGCTGGCTCGCTCACACGACCCCGGATCGGGAATCGAACCCAGGTGCTACTTGCTGGAAGGGACAAGCGATGGGTGGACGTTTGCGTCACCTTGAAGGCGGCTCCGAGGCCGTCCTCCTTGAGCTTGTTGTTGTTCATGATGAGCATCGTCAGGTTCTCCAGCTTCCCCAGAGAGCCGCCAAACTTGGACAGCTGCAACAGGGATCCCACCGCAAGCACTGAGCATGGGAACCACCACCAGCACCACCATCCATAGACTCACCACCACCAACACCAGTGCCATCCATAGACTCACCACCACAACCAGAACCATAGACTCACCACCACCACCCAGAGACCCATAGACTCACCACTAGCATCACCATCCATAGACTCACCACCATCACCCAGAGACTCACCACCACCATCCATAGACTCACCACCACCATCCATAGACTCACCACCACCACCCAGAGACTCACCACCACCACCCATAGACTCACCACCACCACCCATAGACTCACCACCACCACCCAGAGACTCACCACCACCATCCATAGACTCACCACCACCATCCATAGACTCACCACCACCATCCATAGACTCACTACCACCACCCAGAGACCCATAGACTCAACACCACCACCCATAGACTCACCACCACCACCCAGAGACTCACCACCACCATCCATAGACTCACCACCACCATCCATAGACTCACCACCACCATCCATAGACTCACCACCACCACCAGCACCACCATCCATAGACTCACTAGCACCACCACCCAGAGACTCACCACCACCATCCATAGACTCACCACCACCATCCATAGACTCACCACCACCATCCATAGACTCACCACCACCATCCATAGACTCACCACCACCAGCATCACCATCCATAGACTCACCACCACCACCCAGAGACTCACCACCACCATCCATAGACTCACCACCACCATCCATAGACTCACCACCACCATCCATAGACTCACCACCACCACCAGCATCACCATCCATAGACTCACCACCACCACCATTGCCATCCATAGACTCACCACCACCATCCATAGACTCACCACCACCATCCATAGACTCACCACCACCACCAGCACCACCATCCATAGACTCACCACCACCACCCAGAGACTCACCACCACTACCAGTGCCATCCATAGACTCACCACCACCACCATCCATAGACTCACAACCAGACCCATAGACTCACCACCACCACCCATAGACTCACCACCACCACCACCCAGAGACCCATAGAATCACCACAAGCATCACCATCCATAGACTCACAACCAGACCCATAGACTCACCAGCACCACCATCCATAGACTCACTACCACCACCCAGAGACCCATAGACTCAACACCACCACCCATAGACTCACCACCACCACCAGTGCCACCCATAGACTCACCACCAGCACCACCACCCATAGACTCACCACCACAACCAGACCCATAGACTCACCACCACCACCCAGAGACCCATAGACTCACCACCACCACTACGACCAACACCACCACCATCCAGAGACCCATAGACTCAACACCTCCACCCATAGACTCACCACCACCACCCATAGACCCACCACCAGTGCCACCCATAGACTCACCACCAGCACCACCATTCATAGACTCACCACCACCCGTAGACTCACCACCACAACCAGACCCATAGACTCACCACCACCACCCAGATATCCATACACACACCACCCTCACCCAGAGACCCATAGACTCACCACCACCCATAGACTCACCACCCCCACCACCACCACCCATAGACTCACCACCCCCACCCAGAGACCCATAGACTCACCACCACCACCCATAGACTCACGACCCCCACCACCCATAGACTCACCAACACCACCACCCAGAGACCCATAGACTCACCACCCTCACCCAGAGACCCACAGATTCACCACCACCCTCACCCAGAGACCCACAGATTCACCACGACCACCCCCACCCAGAGACCCACAGATTCACCACCACGACCGGCACCACTGCACCTTGTTGTAGCTGGCGCGCAGCTCGTGCAGGGAGCGGGGCAGCGTGGGCAGCGCGGTCAGGTTGTTGTGGTCCAGGTAGAGCTTCTCCAGGCTGCCCATCTTGCTGAACACGCCCTTGCCCACCTGGACAAGAGGATCATGTCCGCTCTAGATTTGAAGCGTTCGTGACTGCAAGGATTCATACTCTTTGGGGTTTTTTTTCGGTAAAGTCACGTCGGTAAAAAATAAATAATAAATAATACACATAATATAAATAATAATAGAAATAAAATAATAAATCACGACCGTCACAGCTGAATTTACTGTATTATCACAGTAAATTCAGCTGTGACGGCCCCACTTGATGACGGAGACTTGTGTTAAATAAATGAAAACAACTAAATTAAATCACGACGAATGTCCATGTTACTCGGCAGCCTCTCTCCTTGTGGAGGTGTGTATGTTCTACCCCCCCCCCCCCCCCCCCAGTGCCATTGCGAGTGTGTGGGGAGCGGTGGACGTTGCGGTTAGCGGACCTGCCCTACGAACCCGGCGACGCGAGTTCGATTCCCGCTCACGGCCAACGCCAGCAGCGACGATTATCTGAACCGGCCCTGGGCCTCCCCCTAGGTCGACTCAGCCTCAAATGAGTACCTGGTGCGGTGTGTAAACATCGCCACTGGGGAGACAAAGGCGGCCGGGCGTGGTACTGGCCCACCCACCCCCTCGTGCGCCGTTCCGACCCTTCATAGGCGCTCGCCAACGGCACTTGCACTTGCTCCTGCAGCCTGTCGAAGGCTACGCGGGTGACCTTTGTCGTCTTTCTGCGTGCCCCACCTTGTCGCTCAACAGCTGATTGTTGTCCACCAGCAGCCAGGACAACTCGGTCGCGTTGCTGAACGCGTCGTCCTTGATGCCCTCGATCTGGTTGCCGCTCAGGTAGACGTACTTCATCCGCGACGGGACGGGCGGCACCTCCTGGCAAGCGGTGCACGTGGACAAGTTGCAGAGGGGCAGACTCTCGCCCACAACACCTCGCGGTGTGGCGTGCGCTGTGGTGTGGTGTGCACTGTGGTATGATGTGCGGTGTGGTGTGTGTGGTGTGTGTGGTGTGGTGTGCGCTGTGGTGTGGTGTGCACTGTGGTATGATGTGCGGTGTGGTGTGTGTGGTGTGGTGAGTGTGTGGTGTGGTGTGTGCTGTGGTGTGGTGAGGTGTGGTGTGGTGTGTGCGGTGTGTTGTGGTCTGGTGTGGTTAGGTGTGGTGTGTGTGGTGCGGTGTGTTGTGGTGTGGGGTGGTTAGGTGTGGTGTGGTGTGTGCGGTGTGTTGTGGTGTGGGGTGGTTAGGTGTGGTGTGTGCGGTGCGGTGTGGTGAGGTGTGGTGTGTGCGGTTCGGTGTGGTGTGGTGTGTGCGGTGTGGTGTGTGCGGTGTGGTGAAGTGTGTGGTGAGGTGTGGTGAGGTTGTGGTGAAGTGAGGTGTGGTGAGGTTGTGGTGAAGTGAGGTGTGGTGAGGTTGTGGTGAAGTGAGGTGTGGTGAAGTGAGGTGTGGTGAGGTTGTGGTGAAGTGAGGTTGTGGTGAAGTGAGGTGTGGTGAGGTTGTGGTGAGGTGTGGGGGTGCAGGGGGCACTACCTTGAGCTTGCGGTTGTCGCAGTACATGGCGGTGGGCCAGGCGAGGGGGCAGGTGCAGACCTCGGGGCAGTCATTGGAGCTGCTCATCTCTACACAAAGACAAAGATCCCCCGTGTAGCCTTAACAGACTGTAGGGGCAAGTGCTGTTAGCGAGCACCTATGAAGGCAGGAACGGCACACGAGGGGTGGGTGGCCAGCACCTCGCCCGACCGCCTTTGTCTCCCCAGTGGCGATGTTTACACACCGCACCAGGTACTCATTTGAGGCTGAGTCGACCTATGGGAGGCCCGGGACCGGTTCAGATAATCGTCACTGATGTTGGCTGTAAGCGGGAACACACACACCCACATATACACACACCCACATATACACACACATACGTACACACATACACACACACATACACACACACACACAGGTGTGTACACACACACACACAGGTGTGCACTCGCACACCACACACAGACAAAGATCCCCTGTATAACCCTATCAGACTGTTGGGGGGGGTGCTATTCGTCACCGATGTTGGCTGTCAGCGGGAATCGATCTCGGGTGGCCGGGTTTGTAGCGCAGTGCCGCGCGAACCGCTGCACCGCCGCATTGACCATCAAATACGCCACTTCGTCTGCTTCATAGCCGCTCTATTATCCACCGCGCGCGGCTCTGTCGAAGGGGCGTAACGTAGAACGTACTTCTATCACAGTGGTAGCAAAGAATAATTAATGTAATGTCTCCAAAACAACTGCCAATATATACACTTATTCATAATGAATGTGTTTGGGGGGTTAGATCGCGTAAGTTAAAACGTTGTGTCGTAGCCCTCCACCACCCGACACAGCCGGTAAGGTTTGTCGCGTAAACAAAGCCCGCCGATTAGTTAACTACTTCAGCCCACCGGTGCGTTGGAGCCAGAGGTCGCAAACGGGTTTTGATTCCTTACCCGTACCTGGCCGCACCAGGGTCGCAAACGGGTACCTGTACCCGGCCGGGTACGGGTAGCCGGGTATCAGGTAGGGTACGGGTATCGGGTACCCGATTGCGACCTCTGGTTGGAGCGTAGTACATCCACAACATTTACAATTTGAGTGCCGTGACGTGTCGCTGATAATTTACAACCAGCGTCATCAGGCGATTTGCCAGAACAGTGAAGCGATCCACGTGCTTCCGGTCTCAAATAGAGCGGATGACGTCATCGCTGAGAGCCAATCAGGTGCGGAGAGCAGAGAGGGGGGGTGGTGAGGGTTGGGCTATTCTTCTTGGTTCTTTCGGTAAAGTCACGTAGAATGGAAATAATAAAATAATAACAAGAAAACATAATAAACTAATATAATAAACGTCGTGAGAATTGTATTTTATTATGTTTTATTTTTATTATTTTATTATTTCCCTTCTACGTGACTTTACCGAAAGAACCAAGAAGAGGAATCCCTGCAGTCACGAAAGCTTTAAATCGAAATCGTCATCATTTACATGCGCGTGCGTGTGCGTGCGTGCCCCACCGACGACGTCATAGTAGGCCGGTGGGTCGGCTGCCATTGGCCCCTCGTAGGAGTCGTAGTAGTGAGGCCACGTGGCTTGGGCCTCTTGGATGGCAGCGATGGCCGCCACGAGCATCAGCAGCATCGCCACGGCCGCCCGGGAGGCTGACATCTCTCAGCGACCCTCTGTCTCTCTCTCTCTCTCTCTTACGGAAGCTCTTCTGGGCTGCTACCGCTGCTGTGTTGGTTGTTCACTTGGTCTGCAGATGGATCTGTCCGGGAGAGAATTGAACAGGTGGTGATGATTGTTTTTCTTCTTAATATTATGACATTGGCATCTATTTACCCAGGACCCACAGACTCACACAAAGACCCCAAAGGCTTCACATATAACGGCCCACAGACTCGTATAGAGATCCGTAGACTCACAACTTGTCTGGGTTGCTCCCAGACGGTCCGTAAGCATCACTTGAGTCACAACTCGTCGGGGTTTACACTTTCTTTCCGATGTAGACCAAACCCGGTCCACATTTCTCAGTCGGTCTGTGTCTACAATAACTGTGCCATCTACTGGAATAAAGTTCACGTGTTCCGTCGCAAGTCCGGACACGCGTAGAGCAAAGCCCTCGGGCCCCAGCGGGCACAACCCTCGAGAGCGTTGGCAACTCGTCGGACAGCGTGATCTCACTTCATTGGAGGACATTTTTACATCGCTGGAGACCCGTGCCATGTGGCGTTCCGCCCAAAAACAAGCGTGCAAGCAGATGCCACCCTCGGTGTTGTCTTCCTGTGGTTAGCCCCCAGTGCTCGACGGCCTCTTACTCCAAGGTGGGGGGGGGGGGGTATCGTGGACACGTAGATAGAAAATTTATAGATCACCGAAGAACCAAAGAGTATGGATTCCTGCAGTCACGAAAACTTCAACTAAAAAAAAGAAGGCTTCACCTTCCGGCAACGCATGAAGCAAAGGGAAGGGATCTGTGGAAGGATCAGATCGTGAATCGCCCTGCTACAGAAACTCGCAGGGACGCCTCAGCTGATCCGCTGCGAGCTGCCGCCCTCTCGCTGTGCGCACTTGCCTTGAACTTCGTTCGCACCGTACGCACCCATCCGTGCTAATAGGAGGCGCGCGGGGGAGGGGGGGGAGGACAACAAAACTAAACACGAAAAGAAGTCCTCAAGAAATGAGTTTTCAATCTGGATTTGAAAGTTCAGAGCTCCAGCTGCTTCTCCAGAGCGTTCCAGACGGCCGCAGAAGCGCATCCAATGCGGTGACCGCCTGTTGTTCGATAGTGCTTAGCCAAAAGCCGCGAGGATGACCCCCAGAGTTCGGGAGATGATCTCAGTGCCAAAGTCGCTGCGCTTCAACCCGCCCTGGCAGCTCGCGAACACAAAACGCCGCTAAGCTGCTCAATGAAATCACGACCACAACACCGACCACCGAACCCCGATCCCCGTTGGTTCCCCGTTCTGGCGAACCGAGACCTCGACGATGTTCCTCGCCACCGACTTGAGTCACGATGCACCCCCCCACCCCCTCGCTGCGGTCATCATCCTAGAATCACACCCAAGTGCTGTGCAGACTGACACGCTGGCGAACACGAGCGGGACAATTGCGGACATGAAAGAATAAACACCTCAATCGAAATCCAAAGCAGCACAACCTCCCCCGCCTTGAGGTGGAACCGTCAACCACAGCAGCACATCATCAACAGGCCCATGCACACATCGCCTTAATATTTTGAAAATGAAAGCCCCGGTGGTGTGATTGTGGCCATGGCTTTCAAACTGTGGACCCTATCGCGTACCACTGTAGTCTGCGCTTCTTCGATGGCGGAAGAGCAAAACTCCTCTTGAAGCCCTCTCGTGGCTGACAGACCTCGACATTTGGCATTTAGCTTCCGAACATATTGCTGCCATACGCCAGATTACAATAGTCCAGTCGAGTCATCCATATTCGCTGCTGCCACGTCCTCCCTGGGAGCCTGCTATCGATAACCACAAATGAAAAAAATATAACACCACGCGATTGTATCTTTTTTTTTATTGAACAAAAATATTTGGATGTCTTTCATTTTCTTTTTTTAAGCAATCAGTCTCAGGCTTGTATCCAGCTCATGCTGTCTTTATTGCACGGCCAGTGTCACATTTGGTGGAGGCAACTTTGCGAGGCTTCCTCGCTGCCAATATAACAGCCGGATACACCCTCGCCCACACATGTGGCCTTGGACCTTATAACGAATCCAACTCCGATATGAAATAGATTGTTTAGCCGCGCTGGCAGATGTCGTGAGTTAAAATAAAACATCTGACTGATGCCACGTGCTTGTATAGGAAATTAATATTACTCGTTGCTGGGGCAGTCCATCTAACAGCAGTGGATCAATCATGGCTGATTATGACATGGGAACCACGGTGGCTAGGAGATGTTAACTACCTCGCCTGGTATACAGGAGGTTGTGGGTTCGATGCCGACCCTGACGCCTGCTGCTGTATATTTGAAGTTTGCGTGATCTCCCCGTGGTCGCGTGGATTGTTATCCTGGTTTTCCCTCCACATTTGTAAACGTGCGTTTAGAGCGTTTGGCTGCTATATCAGTGGGGCCTTGCCTGGTAAGAAAAAAATTACATCATTATCAGCCTTTATTAGTTAAATAAAAATGTTCATATAAATGATATACCAAGAATAGCCTTCCTGAGTCTCAATAAAGCTTAGCAGTTTCCTCCTATGTTGTTCTTATGGGCGGCAACCGTTGATATGTTTTCCAATGAAATTTCCGATTTGGCATATTTGGACATTGATGCCAGGACACAATGGTATACTTTTACGTTGCTCCGTCTTTGAGAGTAAAACTGATATTTTGTTTATTTATTTCTCAGAGTATGAGTTTAGAAAAATAAGTCATTACGAATCCAAGTTTTCACGTGATGGGTTTTAAGTCCAGTCAAGCGTGACTAGGGGCTGAGGCCATCAACTTACTATGGTCGAGAAACCGGTTTTGGCCACGACAAACCGGTTTTGGCCATCGCAAACCGGTTTTGGCCACGGCAAACCGGTTTTGGCCACGTCAAAACGGTTTTGGTCCACGGCAAACCGGTTTTGGCCACGGCAAACCGGTTTTGGCCACGTCAAAACGCTTGGGCCACGGCAAACGGTTTTGGCCACGGAAAACCGGTTTTGGCCACGGCAAACCGGTTTTGGCCACGGCAAACGGTTTTGGCCACGGCAAAACGGTTTTGGCCACGGCAAACGGTTTTGGCCACGGCAAAACGGTTTTGGCCACTGCAAAACGGTTGGGCCACGGCAAACGGTTTTGACCACGGCAAACCGGTTTTGACCACGGCAAACCGGTTTTGGCCACGGCAAAACGGTTGTGGCCACGGCAAACCAGGTTTTGACCACGGCAAACCGGTTTTGGCCACGGCAAAACGCTTTTGGCCACGGCAAACGCTTTTGGCCACAGCAAAACGCTTTTGGCCACGGCAAACGGTTTTGGCCACGGCAAAACGCTTTTGGCCACGGCAAAACGGTTTGGCCACGGCAAAACGGTTTGGCCACGGCAAAACGGTTTTGGCCACGGCAAAACGGTTTTGGCCACGGAAAACGGTTGTGGCCACGGCAAGACGGTTTTGGCCACGGAAAACTGTTGTAGCCACGGCAAAACAGGTTTTGGCCACGGAAAACGGTTTTGGCCACGGAAAACGGTTGTGGCCACGGCAAACCGGTTTTGGCCACGGAAAATGGTTTTGGCCACGGAAAACGGTTTTGGCCACGGCAAAACGGTTGTGGCCACGGCAAAACGGTTTTGGCCACGGCAAAACGGTTTTGGCCACGGAAAACGGTTGTGGCCACGGCAAAACGGTTTTGGCCACGGAAAACTGTTGTGGCCACGGCAAAACGGTTTTGGCCACGGAAAACGGTTTTGGCCACGGAAAACGGTTGTGGCCACGGCAAAACGGTTTTGGCCACGGAAAACGGTTTTGGCCACGGAAAACGGTTTTGGCCACGGCAAAACGGTTGTGGCCACGGCTAAACGGTTTTGGCCACGGAAAACGGTTGTGGCCACGGAAAACGGTTGTGGCCACGGCAAAACGGTTGTGGCCACGGCAAAACGGTTTTGGCCACGGCAAACCGGTTTTGGCTACTGGAAAACGGTTGTGGCCACGGCAAAACGGTTTTGGCCACGGAAAACGGTTTTGGCCACGGAAAACGGTTGTGGCCACGGCAAAACGGTTTTGGCCACGGAAAACGGTTGTGGCCACGGCAAAACGGTTTTGGCCACGGAAAACGGTTTTGGCCACGGCAAAACGGTTTTGGCCACGGCAAAACGGTTTTGGCCACGGAAAACGGTTTTGGCCACGGAAAACGGTTGTGGCCACGGAAAACGGTTTTGGCCACGGAAAACGGTTGTGGCCACGGAAAACGGTTTTGGCCACGGAAAACGGTTGTGGCCACGGCAAAACGGTTTTGGCCACGGAAAACGGTTGTGGCCACGGAAAACGGCTGAAACCTGGATTGGAACTCAGGATCTTAGCGGTGCCGACTTCTGAGCCAGCCAGCCACTTTGTTGGTCTGAATAGGTACCACTCAATAACATCACTTGCTGTTACAGTCTGTTGAAGGCTATACAGAGGTTTATTTGTCATTGTGCGTGTCCGTTTGCGTCTGCGTGTGTGTCTATGTGCATCTTTGTGTCTGTCTATCATAGTCGAGATGTCTGTGTGCATGTCTGTGGAGTGGCTATAGTTGTTGTGTGTATCTACAAAAATTAACCAGTAAAAACAAAGTTTTTCACTATAAATTCTTCATATGCGTGGCGGCTAGAGTACTCTCGTCCTCTGGCTTGAGATGGCTGCCACCTATGGGTCAGATGATTGCCTGCCACCATTAAGCAATTGGTAATTAAATATAATTTATTTTTTCCTAAAAAGTGTATAAATTTGGGAAAAATTTTCACGAAAATAAATTGTCACGCACAACGAGTCTGTGTGCAAAATGTCAGCTCGATTAGATCACGGGAAGTGGGTTAAAAAACGACCGAAAGATTTGCACGGTCGTAAGCGCGCAAGCAAACAAGCAAGTGAACTTAATATAAAGGATTTAACAAGCAAGCAAGCAAGTGAACTTAATATAAAGGATTAAAAAAAAACTTTTTATTTTATCAAGTAAGGCTCACTGAGCTATTACCTCTTTTTCAGAAGCGACCTGGCGATCACAAATGATAGCTCAACGAAGCGGCTTATTGTGTGGACATTACAGCAGCCAAATAATC